TGGCCTTTGCAGAGAGGCCTCCTGCAGCACTGAGCAGGCACGTGGGAGGTGGCAGGTTTGAGTTAAGGATTTGTGGGCCCCGGTTTCTGCTCCCCACGGGGCGAACGGAAAAGCCCCGTGACTTGGAGCAAAGCTGCGCGTGCGGCACGTTCTCTGGGAACAGCCCACAGCAGGATCCCCACTGCAAACAGTTCACAGGAGGAGACGGCAGCGCCGGTGGGAAGCGGCAGCAGCTAGGGCCATGCACTGTCACCGTTTAAGCAGCCGGCACTTCGCATGCGTTACCTGCTTAGCTTGTTCTTTCTGAAATACCTCTAGCTGCTCCACCTGTATGGCGGGGTGAGCACAAAAGGCAGAAGTGAATACATTGCACGCGCGCCGAGAACGCAGGACCAGCCTTGCTGCGGCTGCACGGCAAGAGCACCCGTCTGCTCCCCGCCTGCGCTGGTCAGCAGGGACGCCTGTCCTAGGTCTGTCCCCCCAGCTCCCACCTCACGAGCCCACGCTAAGCGGACACATCTGCGTTCACACAGGGATGGAGGAGATCTGAGCCCCACCGACACGCAGATCTTCTCCGCACCTTTGTGAACCTGGGCGCTAGGATAATCCACAGGCTCAGGAGCAGCTGGGATCAAGCGGAAACAGATCCCTGACTCTAGAAAGCAGCGGCTTTAGGTGAGCAAGTTCATGGAGAACCGACTCAGCTGGGAGGCGCCAAGGGCTGTGGCCACAACTGAGCTGAGCTGAGGAGACAGCTTAACCCAAGAGCGGACATCGCTCTCCAGCCTGGAGGCAGCCTAGCGGTCAGCTGAGCCTGGCAGCTGGTCTGCCATCTCAGACAGCATTTCCCCGCTGGTCAGTAAGCGCCCAGAGCAAGGCTCTGGGGGAGCTCGTGTGCTTTCTCAACTATAGACAAACTGTATTCCTTCGAGCCAACAGCAGGCTCTGCAGCGCTCCGGCACGGACGGACCTGCCCAGAGCAGCCTCGCGGTCAAGAAAAGAGAGGACTGAAGAAGGGTAGAAGAAACCCCTTCTCAGGGGACCTCTCCCCGCTCCCCCTTGCCCACATGAGGCAGCCGAGCAGGGAGACAGACGGGTCCCTACCTGAGCCACCAGCTTCTGCCTCTCCTCCTGGAACTTCTGCCTCTCCTCCAGCACCTTGACCTTGGTGCTCTCGTACTTATTGCTCATCACCTCCAGCTTCTTCGCAGCTTCGTCAGCCTCCTGCCTGCTGCCCGCCACGAGCTTCTCTGACTCCAGCCGGAGGCGCTCCAGCTCTCGAGCGTGCTTCTCCCGCACCTGGCTGAGCTCAGCGTCGAAGCGCTGCTGCCCGTGGCTGGAGGTCTCGCTGAGCCCTCGGTTCTCTTCGGACAGCCTGGCATTGGCCTGCTGGAGCCCAGCGAGTCGCTCCACGTAGTCAGCCTTCTCCTTCTGCAGCCTCTGGATCGCCCGGTCCTGCTCCAAGGACTTCTCTCTCAGGGCGGGCAGCTCTGCCGTTTCCAGCTTGGCTCTGGCCAGCTCTGCTTGCAGAGTGCCGACGGCTTTCACCCGCTGCTCCAGGTCGTCGCGGTGCTTGCTCTCCAGGGAGGCGCGCTCCGCCTGCAGCTGCTGGTACAGGTGCTTCAGTGGTATCAGCTCCCCAGCGAGGGCTTGGGCTTTGCTGAGCTCCTGCTGCAGAGAGGAGAGAAGCTGCTCCTTCTGGAAGTATTTGTCCTGGCAGACCTTCACCTCCTGACGGAGCTCTTCCTCGCGTTCGCTCTGGCAGTGGCGCTCCCTCTTCAGGGCCTCAATGGTCAGCCGCTGCTTCTCCATCTCCTCCTGGCAGCGCTGCACCTCCACCTTCATGAGCGAGCATCTCTCAGCCGCCCGCGAGGCTGCCGTGGCCATTTCTGTCTGGAGCATCCGCAGCCTCTCTTCCAGCTTCTTGCTCTTCTCTGACTCAGCGACAATCAGGCGCTTCAGCTCCTTGCTCTCCCCCTCCTTCTCTGTGACTTGCCGGTGAAGGATGGACACTTCATGCTCCAGGCTGCCAATCAGGCTGTTCTTCCTCTCCATCTCCTGGATGCATTGGGCCACTTGTTCTTTCCAGCTCTCCTCCGACCTGCCCTTTTCCTGAGCTGAAGAGCGGAGGGATGCCAGATCCTTCTCTGCAGCAGCAATGGCATTTTTACTCTGCATCAGCTCTTTACCCTTGTCCTGCAGCTCTTTTTTCAGGGTGTCTATGGCGCCATCTTGCAGAGCTTGTGCTGATCTTGAGGCCTCTAGCAGCTTCTGCAGCTCCAACGCCTTCTCCTTCTGCTGAGCCACTTCCCTCCTCAAGGCCTCCAGCTCTGCTTGCTCGTGCTCAGCAGCCTTGGCTCCAGCTGCTGCTTTCTCTAAGACAGCAATAGTGTCTTGCTGTTCCCTGCATTTCTGCTCTAGCTTCTCCACTTGTAAATTAAGCATCTGAGTCTCTTTTAGCTTCTCCTGGTAAAGGTCTTGGCTTGAGCTGGATTCCTGCTCTCTGTGACGGATCTTCTCCTCCAAGCTTTTGAGGGACATCTCCTTTGAGTAAACTGCCTTGATGCTGTCCATCTCCACATCTCGGGTCCTGGCAGCCTCCAGGAAGCCTTGCAGCTCATTATCCATCTTTGATGCCCGCTCTTTCACGGCCTCTACCGAAGCGAGTTCTCCTTTCAGCTTACTGACAGTCTTCTGCAGATCTCTCAGCTCCTCGCCCCGTGAGACGTTTTTCAGACGGAGCTCATCCAGCTCCCCCTCTTTCTCCTCGATGAGCTCCAGGGACCGAGCCAGCTCCTCCTGGTGCACAGACCGCTCAACCCTCTGCTCGTTGATGGAGTTCTGCAGCTGCACCTCCAGCTCTGCCTTGCGGGCTTTCTCCGCGGCGCAGTCCGCCTTGGCTTGCTCCACCTCCTTCTGCAGGCACTTCGCTTCCTCGTCCCGATGCGCAAGTTCCTGCTTGTGTTTCTGCAGCGTTTCTTCCAGCCTGGCACTCAGCAGAGTCACCTCACCAGAGAGTCTCTCCACTTCCAGCTCTCGCTCCCTCATGAGAACGGTGGTGCGAGAGAGGTTGGCTTCCACACTCGTCAGCCTCTCGCTCTCCTGCTCCCCAAGGCGTTTGACTGCAGCTTCGAGCTCCTTAGACTTCAGCTTCTCATCGGACAACTCCTTGGAGACTCCCTTGAGCATCTCGGTTGCTTTCCGCACATCTGCCTCCAGCTGAGCTCTGCACTTGGCCGCCGCTTGGTCAGAGGTTGCAATCTTCTCCTGCAGAGAAGAGACTTCTGCCCTTAGCTTTTGCTCTTTGCGTTCTGTCTCCTTTGCCTGTGCCTGGGCACCTGACAAGTCTGCCTGGAGCACGGCCAGCCTTTCCTGATGCTCGGTGGCCAGGCATTTCATCTGTGCTCCCAGCCCAGCCGCTTTCTCCTGCTCAGCCTGCAGCCGCTGGCAGGTCTGGGCGTGATCCCTGCTCAGGACCCTCACCTTCTCCTCCAGTTTCCCACGCTCTCCTTCCTCCCCTTTAGCAGCTTCTGCCAGCTGACTCTGCAGCACCTTGGTCTTCTCCCTGTACTCCTCTCCCAGTTGCTGCAGCTGCATCTCAAGGGTCTGTCTCTTTGCCTGCTCCTCAACTTTCTCCTGGAGAGCCTGGTCTCGGCGCTGCACAAGCTGCTGTTTCTCTGACTCTAGCTCTGCAATCCTGGCGAGATTCCCCTCGAGGCTCTCTGATGCCCTCCTCTTCTCGTCCTCCAGGATCCCCTCCGTGTTTCGCACAGACTCCTCCAGGAACAGCAGCCGCTCCTGCAGGCGGGAGTTCTCCTTGGCCAACTTCTCCTTATCTGCCAGCTTCTGCTGACTTTCTTTCAGTTTATTCTCAAGGTCTCGAAGCTGGGTTTTCAGTGTCTCAGCCGTTCCCACTTGGGCCGTGCTCTGCTGGCACTGGGCAGTGAGCTCAAGGATCCTGTTTTCCAACTCTTGAACCTTCTGGTGCAATTCAGCCTTCTCTTTCTGCATTTGCACAGATGTGGCTTGGCTGGCATCTCTGGCCTTCTCCAAGGTCTGTAGCTGGCTGCTCAGGGCTGCCAGCTCCGCTTCATTTGCCTGCTGGAAACGCTGTAGCTGTTGCAGAGCCGAGTCTCTTTCCTGGACAGCTTTCTCGTGCTCAGCTCTGAGGGCGGCCAGCTGCCTGGCCTCCCCCTCACACGTCGCCTCCATCTCCTGAGTGACCTGCACCAGCTTCTGCTCGCTGTGCTTCAGGGTGCTGCTGAGCTGGTCCACCTGGAGGCTCAGCCCCTTGATGGTCTCCTGGGACGCCTGCTCTTGGTTGTGGAGGTCCTCTGTCAGCCGGCCCTTCTGGGCCCGCTCCTCCTCCACCTGTTGCTGCAGCATCACCAGCTCTTGCTCCTTCTGGAGAAGGAAGCCGTTGAGCTTGCCGATCTCCGCTGTGAGGGTGTTCACCTGGGCCGTCAGGCGCGCCTCCTGCGCCCGCAAGTCCTGCTCCAGCTTCTCCTTGGCCAGGTGGATCTCAGAGACAGAGCTCTGGAGGCTGGTGATGAGGCTGCTGAGCTGGAGCTTCTCTTCCTCAAAGCGGCTCCGCTCGGACTGCAGGTTTGCCTCTCGCAGGCTCTTTTCTTCTTCTAGCTGCAGGATGGTGGCTTGGAGCTCAATGACTTTAGCAGTGAGGCTGGACACCTCCTGCTTTAGCTCTTCAAGCTGGCAGAGAGGCGAGGAAGAGGGAAAAACAAACAACCCCCACAAAGCGTTACTTAGGTTGTACCAAACACTGTCACGAGAGACCCACACGCTTTATCCCCGTGGGAGGTGCCAGGTGCCTTCCTCCCCTCCCTGAGCCTAGCCCATGCTCCCCAGCAAAGCCTGCCTTTACTTTAGGCTCGTGCCATTTCCAGTTGCTGGGATCAAACGTGTTTCTTCACTGCGCAGAGGCAGCTCCATTCCCTGCCTCTCCCCGCCACAGGGGGCCATGATAGCTACACGGGGAGCTATATTCCCAAATACCATGTAAAAGGGATTCTTGCAGATGGCTCAGCCCCACAAGACCCACCCCAAGGCCAAGCAACGGCAGATCAGGCTGGAGAGTGCCCAGCTCCATCTCCACACTGCCGGACCACGTCCTGCCTGGGCCCTACCAGAGCAGACATCTACTCCACCTTCGCAGAGCGGAGCCCGCAGGGCCGCCAGCCACGGCTACGCTAGGAGGTGGAAAGTGCACACGTGCACCCAACAGATGCAGATTCTCCCGGATGTGCACTTGGCCCAGACAGCCTTCTGTATCACAGGCAGATGGGGGCCTGGCTGCTTTGGAAAGGGGCAACAGTGAGCCTCCCAGCACCCAGATGCGGGCAGAATTTGCCATGCTTCGCTCTCTCTGGCTAGAGGAGTTTTTCAACAGAGCAGTGCTTGCTCCCGTTGCTGGAGCACAAGGTCTCTCGAGATGCAGCTGTACCTTGAGGACATCACCCATGACCTCCCCTTTCTCCTGGGTGTTGCAGTCCCTCAGCTTTGCCAGCTGGTCCTCCAGCAGAGAAATCTTCCCCTGGAGAATCTCAATCTTCTCTTCCAAGCATTTCTGGGGACAAAGACATGGGGCTGAGCAGGGCAGAGGGAAAGGGAAAAAAAATCAAGCAAAAAAAACAAGCACAATCATCAAGTCTATGCCAGTCAAACTTTCTGACAGCTGTGTGTCAGGCTCAGGGCTTTGCTGCAACGATTGCAGCCTTCCTCCCTGCCTCGCAGCGGGCAACCCTTCCCAGTACTCGGAGAAAAGATCCCCTGGGGAGGCAGCTGCTACCAAAGGCAGTGGAGCTTCGCGCCACCCATCCCAGGTGTGCCTGCACGGACAGGCAGAGACTACCCTGCCCTCTCCACCCTCTCACAGCTGGCGGGACACGGGCCAGCTGCAGCGAGCCACGTAACACGCCGGCGGGCGTCCCGTGGCTGCGGCGGGCTGCGCACCCGCGCTCAGGCGGGACAGCGGGGCTCTGCCCGGGGCCGCTCGGCCCGCGCTACCCCAGCACCCCGCACCTTCTCTTGCAGGGCCGTACGCAGCTCGCTCTCCAGCTGCGTCTGCTTTTCTTGCGACTGCCTCAGGGCTGCACTGTGCTCCTCGGAGAGCTCATTTAGGGCTTCTTGGAGCTGGACCAAGTGGCTGGCAATCTCCCGCAGCTGCAAAAGGAAAACCGCCCCCCACACCAACACAGCCAGGTTAGAGAGCGCACACGCTGCCCAGGGCTCGGCTCAGCCCAGCTGCCCTCACACCAGCGCTGTGCACAGCAGCATCCGGCAATTTCCCAAATTCGAGGCGCTTACATGGCTTCCTCAGCCACACTGCATCTGAAACACTGAACACAGACAGCTTGATCCAGTCCCTATTTCCACCCTCAGGGTCAGATCAGGACCTGAGGCCCAAAGCAGACTCAGTCACTGGATCAGGATCCCACAAGATCCAGCAGCAGAGCCGTACACAACCCAAGGTCCAGCACTGCCATCAGACTTTCTCCCTCAGTCTCACCACAAAACACCGCACAGTAAGGGAGCAATGCAAGAAGGTCGGACGCAACCCCAGCCCTCATTTACCAACCAGGGAGGCCAAAAGCAAGCACAGCCTGCACCCGGAGGTCCAAGAGAAGCAGAGAACGCGTTGGTTAGACTCTGCTCGGACTCGACGTTGAAGGCTGATCTTGCCCCTGCGTTGAAGGACCTTTACAGGCAGTGGCTTCCTGCTGCTCCAGGGCGCTGCTGCGTCAGGAGCGCTTTGGAAGTGGCAGGGGCAAGCAGAGAGGGAGCAGCACTCCGTACCTTGAACGAAAGATCCCCATTCTCCTCTGAGAGCTGGTTGATTTTTCGGTCCATCTGGCCTTTTTCAGTCTTCAGATCCTGACACTGTTTTAGGGCCTCATGTAAGCGTATCATCAGGCTGCGGGAAAGGAAACTGTTCAGCGAGGAACTGAAGGAAAGGAAACTTAGCAGCGAGCGCATTTGCAAGACAGAAGGGGACGTCACTGGGGGCTGATGTTGCTGGATATTGATGAGGAAACTAAGGTATCCATGTGCAATGGTGAGAAGGTACCATAAACTCAGCTCTAAACCAGGTCCTGATACATCACGAGGCAGAACAGGACTGAGGATGAGTGGAGTTTGCGCTCTGCATGGGCCTAACTGGCCTGGAGGGAAGGCAGAGGCAGCTGCAGCACTCCAGCTAGCCCTCTGCAAGCAAGCAAACAACAAAACAACCAATCAACCGCACCCACAACAAACCAGCAATGCCTCCCAGGCCGAAGCCGGGCGTCCTTCACAGGTAAACACATCCCCATAAACAGGACGGGGCAAAGACTGGGACGCAGCACGCCAGGTGACAGAATTCAAGTGCATGATGCAGCTGCAGCTCAGATTTGATCAAACGAGAGGGCTGGCATCTGCGTGGGGGCAGACGAGCTCCATCCCCTGTGGCTGCGGTGTGTTAGGCCAAAAGCAGCTTTTGGGCTCATTTAGGTGCAGCTGCAGCTTGACAGGGGCTTGGTGGCCTATGCTAAAGACTTGTGCATTAAATCCAACAGCCATGCTTCAGCAATGCACATCTTTAGGAAAAAGCATCTAATGTTACCCTGAAAGCTTTCAGCAGCAAAGAGCTTATCCCAGAGCTGGGAAGGCCGCACAGCCTCTTTTGGAGGCAAGTGAGACCCACTCAGGGGAGCAAACCCTGTTCTCATAATGGAAAGAGCTGTTTGCAGCCAAGGTTTTAAGGACCCTGGATAAGGAGTGGGTTGTCAGAACAACTCGCATGCTTTGAGACTGGTTCCCCGCTCACTGTTCTCGGGAGCCAGCTAAAATAAAAAATGGCTACAGGCCATAATTCTTCGGGTGGCAAGGGACCTAGCTTGCAGGCTGGGCACGGGAGTGCAAACGCAATTTCCTCTCAGAGGTGCCACTGCAGAGGAAACAGTGGCAGAACAGAAAAGGTCTCCCCTTGCCCCTTCACACATCACTAGGGAAAGGACGGACAACATCAAGCCCAGGGATGCGGCAGTGCAAGGGCCAGCCTAGCCGGGGAGCAAAGTCCCTGGAGGATTACCTCTCGTTCTTCTCCCTCAGCTCCTCCACTTCTTTGGGCTCCAGCTGGTCCGCAGCTTGCCTCTCGTTGAGCAGAGTCAAGCGGTCAATCCGCTGCTGCATCATGGTGATCTGAGCCTCTGGGAAGAGTGGCGAGAAAGAGTCTGTTATCATCCACTTGTGTCACTTGAAGCCCCCAACAGCACAGCAGATGTCTGTCCATCTCCTAGCTGGTGAGGAGCCACTCCACAGGAACCACTTGAACCAGGATACAAGGGAAGAGCCAGGCTGCTGGCGCTGCTGTTCTGCACAGGCTTTGCTACAGCTGTTTTTTGCCAAGGATACATAAGGGGACACAAGGGGGAAGGACAGGGAAGAAGAAACCTGCAGTCTATATGTCTGTAGAGAAATCCCCAGCATGGAGAACATTTTGGACATGCATGGTGAGACTCCTACGTCTGCCAGACTGCTCCAACCGGTTTGGCAGCACGACTCACAGCCGTCTCCAAGATTTGCCTGCTCAGAGCTCTTACAACTGTCAGAGCTGTCTTGGCTCTCATCAGCAAGGCCTTCTGCATCACACGTTGTTCCAGACTAGCCAGTAATTGTCCCCTTGGTCCAGCTGCCACCACGAAGCGAGGCACAGGAAACCCCAAGGTGCCCTGTCCACCCCGGAAAGTGGACAAGCTCCAGAGCTGCAAGCTGCCCTCACTTGGGGGGTCCAGCAGGACAGATCGCCCACAAGCACAGCTCCAGCAGGGTCGTAGCTGCAGCAGAAACCCCAAGAGAACAAAACCTCCCTGCAGCTGAACAGCCCTGGAGAGGCCTCCCTGAGCCCCAGAACATCCTGCTAGCTACTTACCCTTCTCTGTGATGAGCTTGCGGTTCTCTGCCAGCTCCATCTCCAGCTCGTCCCGGTTCTCTCTCTCAACAGCCAGCTGCTTCTTCAGCCGTCTCAGCTGGAACTGAGGCGTCTGCATGATGTCCCCCACGGGCGAGGAGGGCGCACCGGGGAGGATGCTGTGAAGAAGCATGCTGATAACCCAGTTACCAAGAGCCAAGCTCGGGGCACAGTTGCTCCCAGCCCAGGCTGGCCCACCGTGGTTCCACAGCGCACCCCATCTCAGGGGCAGGTTCACAGCAGTCGTTTTGATGCCTCATCACCTGAGCAGTAAGGCCACTATCCAAATCTTCCTTACGCTAACCCCAGTCTCTAAGTGTCTAGCATGTACATACACAAACACGTCCAGCTCCAGGACAAGGTCTCTATCTCCCTTTATACTATAGCCAGAGCCTCAAAGCACCGTGGCCCATTGTAGAGCAGTCAGCAAGCTACAGACTTAAATTTCACCCTTGCTGCCAGCCCTCCAGTAGCGACACAAGCCTGTCCCTCCCAAACCCAACCAGAAACAGGAAAGGGAGTCGAGGACCACAAACTGCTCTGGGAAGAGGGTCCTGGCTTGCTAGTTGCAAAGGGCAGAGCTGGGCTAAAAGGAGCTGACGGCCTGACCTCATCTCACAACCCCACGTCCCTGTGTCATCGCTGAGGAGCTTGCAAGGAGAGCAGCACCAGGCCAGAAGGAGCTTCTCTGCCAAGTAAGTGTGCACCTCCACTGCATTTTCGGGTCCTAGAAGCTCCCCAGCCCCCCATCCTCCCCAACCAGCAGTCTAAGAGGCTGAGGACATACTTGTTCACACCGGAGGAAGAGGCGATCTTCTGCAGCTCCAGGAAACGCACCTCCCGCTTGTGTGGGTGGGAGAACACCGGGGAATGCTCCTCAGAGCTCGTGCTGGATGAGGACAGTGGCACTACAAGTCACAGGCAAGGAGAACAGCATGACCTTCATTTTAATACCAGAGGAAGGGTTTAGAAGTATGAAGTCCCCAGTTTGAAATCCCAAGGTGCACAGGAACTGCGAATGCCAGCAGGGACAGACCAGCCCAACCGAGAAAGCCATCTCATCATCTTCCTCACCACACGGTCATGTTAGCTCCACCTACGCATTAAGGACGCATCTGTCCTGCCGTAGTACTCACAGAACAACCTCCCCACCCCACTATGCTGTGGACACCCTGCCTGGCTCAGTCCTCAAAGGAAAGTGCATTTCAGCAGCGTGTGTTACAGAACCTGGGATTATTCCAAGTAGCAAGGGCTATGCAGGTATAGGACAACCCATTCTCTGAGAAGATAACAGATTAAACCTTACATGGGTCAAATTCTGCAGTGCTCAGTGAGGCAGACAACAATTTGGGTTATGGAAGTTGGATGGTGCTGCTGCTTTGGTAGCTATAGCAGCACAAACAGGGAAAAAAGGAAAAAAAAAACCCAAACCAATAGCTTTTTATGTTCTAGTAAAAAGGTAATGCGTGCTGATTAGATGCTAGCAGCATGGGAACTGCGAAGGAAGACGCCAACAGCGCTCAGCACTTGGATATCTCCTAGTGCTGCTGTCCACAATGTTATGGACTATTTCTGTTCCACTCTTAGCTGACCCTTGGACGCTCCTATAACAAACGTGAACAACAGCATTAACCTCTCAGGCTTAGCAGCGCGCTGCATCGATGCCAGCTGGGAGGACAACAGGTCTAATGGCCCGCTCTCCCCTGCAGAGGGCATGACCAGTTACTCGGGGCTGGTGCCTATGGCACATGCTATTTTGGGTCAGCCTGGAAGGCGACTACAGAGATCTGGCACCTGCAACCCCGCACAGAGCTCACCTTTCCTCTGCAGGAACGCCTCCAGGTTCTCATTCAGGCTCTCCTCATTGTCCAACACAAATTTGAGGATTGTCGCCAGCTCGACCTGTGTCGGACAAGCCGCGGGGTTAGCGGCCATGCTGCAGCACCCGGACC